AGCACTTGTCAGGAAGATCCTAGCGGTTATTTGTATTGGGTCTGGTGGTTTTATTCTTTATCTACAGTGGAAAACAGGCACAAGTTGGAACAATCTTACCTTAAAACTTTACAAGCCCTCTTCCTTCAAAGTCTGCTGTAACTCCATGACTCTGAAGAATGAACCAGGGGGACCTACTGTGGTTGACCTGTGCCACCCAATTAGATAAATCCCTTCTTTCCAAATCCAGATGTTGCTTAGATCCTTTCCAGTCTTGAAAGTACAGCTCAGTATATTATCACCCAAAACAGAAGAGGGTGAGAATGTTACTATGGACAAGGGGCTTCTAGCTGGCCAGGAACCAGCTACCTCTAGCGGATGAGAACAACAAGAGGGCAGGGAGATCCCAGCTCCTAATTTACAATCCTTTTGCTGTTGCATCCCATCACCTCAGTTTTTAGATCCTTTGTATTCTGTTCTGTTCAGTCAAGAATTGCCTTCCCTTGGTATAAGTACGTATGGTGAACTGGGAAAGCACAGGCTGGGAAAGATTCACATACGTGTAATGTTACTTATCTATAATAAGATTAACTGATAACTAACGCCTCGCAGGAACAGGCAGAAATCTACTTACTGTTACTATCTGGAGGCCACCCTGGTCTTGCTGAAATTACCAATCTACCTCTCTGGTGCTTAATATTAATTGTGGCTGGTGTGTATCCACCCTCATGTGCAGCACACAGCCAGTCACAGTCTAGGGGCTCATCTGAGCTCATTTTGCATGGGGTTCTGAAGGCCTTCTGGCTGAAAGGTGCTGCCCAAAGAGGCTTCCCTTTTCCAGCCACTTCAATTGTGCTGCACCAAGGATCATAGAGGTGGGTTATCTTTTCTTATCCCAAATCTGTTTATCTAAAATCATAGTAATGAAGTCAGTGGGAAAAATAATTCTGAGAGTTTGCATCACATAAATCACTTTTAAGAAAACCAGTTTGTGAACTAGATAAAATCTTACAAATGTCTAGTATTTAGTATGTTATATGTCTTTGTTATTTGTATACATTATTGATCATGTAGGAGGCTCTTACAGATACTCATAGATACTGGGTGATTTTTGAGAAATACTTAATGAGGGTGATTTGCGGGAGAAGATCTAAAAGGATCATACCAAGAAAACTTTGATTCTTACTGGGGTTTTTGAGAAAGAAGAGACCCCAATTGTCCTGAGTTAAATGTCTTCACCCAGTTAAAAACAGGTGACCATCCTAACATCTTGAGATGTTTTCCTGTGCTAAATTCTCACTCCTGTAACAAGCTGAGCATGTGTAACTTTACAAGCAGAAGCAGGTTTCTTTGGATGCGTAAACTTGTAGTCACACTTGCAGGTCAGCGGCTTGCAGACTGAGCTCTTTCGATATTTTAAAAGCCAGACAGAAGACAAAAGTACCCCTCTTTCAGCAGCCTAACAGACAAAGTTTAGCTGAAGTCACCACCTTGCTTTGATAATACTGGTTCTCCTCATTAGAATTGCTATCTGATGCAACCTAAATGTTCCATGGTATTAAAGTTAAAGCAGTGTGAGTAACTCAATTAATTAGGTGTGGGTAGCGCTTACCTTCCATTGTCAAGGGATCAAAGGAGAACACAATAGCATTTATTTTCTTGTTCTGCTCCATACCTTAGTGTCAGTTCATTCAAATAACCTTCTGACCGAAATGTTACTGCAAGTTATTATATTAAGTTATTATGCTTTGATGAACATTTCTTCCCTGCATCAACCTCATGACTGCTGCAACTCAGCATGTGCTGCTTTGAGGTATCTGGAAATGGACAGAAAAACGGCAAAAATGTTGAACAAATGAGGAATACGCAGATAACTCTCAACCTCTGCCCTTCCTCTATGAAGTATCTCCTTGCTTTTTCCATCTCTGCCCTATTATTTATAGAAAATAACTTGTGTGGAGGAGCTGAAAGGGAGATTGCACAGGCAGACACAGGCCTCCAACACTTGTGGGTGTCAGTGTGCCCGGCTGAAGGAACTGTAATGGAAAATGACTGGAAGGGGAGCATTAATTCAGAGAAGAATTTGAATTGGAGTTGGTGGATACTTTTGTTTTTATTTGTTTTGCTCTATAACTATTGTGGTTCGGTATTAGGGCCTTCACAGAAAGAAGGGGAGGGGGAATAAAAGTCAATTTTTCCTTTGACTTCATTATTGCCAAGGTTTCCCTCTGCATCTCTGAGGAATTTCTATTAGAGGGGTTTATTCTACTAACAGTCTGTTAGCAGGATTGGCTCCTCATTGAAAGCGTGATACAGTCCGTGAGATTAAACAAGGTAAAATAAGATGAAGTTCTAAGGAATTAAATCGTGCGTGGGCACTGAATGTTTTCATGTCTGTGCTAAAGGTATTCACTTCACTTATTAATTGTTTTGTGAACTAAGTCAATAAAAACCAGACCTTGCTAACACTGTCAGCTGACAGTAATGCCCGTAATGCATACATTTGGTGGGACACTGTTCAAGTTTGAAATACCATTTATTTTAATAGGCTGGACTTTGATTTTATTTGTCTGTGGCCATGCTGTGGAGTAAAGGAAATGAAATGATCTCAATGTCACAAATTTACTTCATTTTTTTTTCTTTAAAATGACATATTGTCTTCTTTAGCCATTTAATAGAATGTAATGCTGTTTAGGGCTTTAAAAGACAAGGAGAAATGAAGCTTTATTAAATTCACTAAGTCCTTTGCCTAAGATGTTGTTGCACTTTAATGATTTTAGAATCATTAAATCACTTATTTCACTACTTGAAATAAGTGAATCTCATTTCAGGTTTTCATTCAAGAGTTGAGTAACAGTAGTGCTATACATATCACAAGAAATAAAATCTTTTAGGATACAAACAATGGTAACAGGGAAATTGCTATACAGTTGGGTTTGGATCTCTGCACTGGCCCTTAACTTACTCTACAGTAGCTTGTGGAGATGTGTGGCTGTTATGAAACCTGTGCTACGGGTATGTGTGTGTTGGTGCACCAACCTCCATTCTAGTGTTACGTTTCCTTCTGGTGAGGGTTTTTGAAAGAACTGAGCTGTCTTTCTTTCCAATGAAGACCATAAAGGATCCACATCTGTGCATGTGAGCATGAGAGACAGTTGTCTCAAATTATTTACTCCTGTGAGTCTGGCCTCTGTTTCTGGGAGAAGTAAAGGAGAAAAATGCGAAGAGTGGAAGACGAAGAAGGAAAACCCCAGAGACAGCAGCAACACCCATTATTGAATGCTGAGGAGGCTTTCACACAGGTTGCATTTCTTAGTCTGTAGCCTCTGTAAATGCTGAACTGTACTATAGTCAGTATTCCAACAGGCAAAACCCCAAAGTTTTTGTATACCAGCCCTTCATAATCTGAGTCACTGATAAATGCACTATACATAGGAAGCTTGCGACATGCTGCGTTTTAACCCAAAATATTGGATGTAGAGGCAAAACTAGGTACAAAATAGTTGAAAAACTGTTCAGTGCCAGTGAGATTTGGAGGAGATGTTTAGATCCAGTATTGCAAATTCCTGTCCATATGATTAACCCTGGACTTGCAGCAGTGAATGTGGAGCTTTCATGCATGGTTAACACTGGGCATATACGCAGGCTCTTTCCCCAGCTGGGCTTGCTAGTTCATGTAATGGATCCTTCTTGTGGTCTCCAGTTACATGTATCACTGTGAGGATGTAAGGAGAGGAGAATATTGACTGTATCCCAGTACAGTGTACCATACAGCTTTGTGTGCAGCTCTAGTCTGCTAGTGCCAAGTGGACATAGGCAGCCAGCCATCTGCATGGCATTTTGGCAGTGTTTTAAAAGAAGTAAGTCAGTAAGGTTGAGTATTGGGTACCACAAACTGGATTAGATAAAGTTGTACTCACTGTTCAGTCTAAAGGCATTCATTTGCTAATTTATTATCTGCCCTGCAGTTACCAAACAGTTGCCTTCTTCAGTACCAAGCACTGCACAATATCTTGGAACAGCTATTTTTTCATATTGTATTCAGGACATGATGACAGGGCTTCAGTGGGGCAGTAAAAATGGGCATCGTTCATCTGGGTGCTTGTTGCTGTTTTCTGGAATCTGAGTTAATGAAAACAAAGTTTGAGAAAACTGCCTTTTTTTTTTTTTTTGTTTTAATGATCTGAATCCCAGTTTGCTTTATCTTCCAGAAATTGCAGTATTGGATCCAGCTGGAAATGACTGCAGTATTATTTTGCCATAGCAATAAAGCGTTTTGTCTGAAAGTTTAGCTATTTATATTACACATCCCTCTTGAAGCCTAATGTTCAAGAGCTCTTCATTAGAAACATCAATGGTATTAAATGGAAATGGATCTTGCATGATGATATAAAAAATCAGACCAGTAATGCAGTACCCGGTTGGTATAACATTTCTGTTGTAATGCATTTCTTGTAATTGTGAATTCCTTCACGTAGAGGAGGGTAACTAAAATAACATAATATATTTATTTTACTATTAGGAGTTTTAATGAACTTCAGGCAAACAGTTCCAGTACAGAGCTGTAAAAGCTCTGTTACCTTGTGCACGTTGACCTCGGTCCTGCAAACAATTACACTTGGGCACAGCCTCGCTGACTTCAAATGGCCAGCTCACGTGTGCAAGGTTAAACAGACTTGTATACACTTGCAGAGATCAAGGCCTCGCCTTAAACCTGAAATACTTTAACCAAGCGGTAGGTTTTACAACAGCACGCCAGTGAGAAACCTTGCCTTAAAATCAAGCAGATGAAAGAGCCTTTTTCTGTGGCACTGATGCAGAAGCTCCCGGCTGGTGCTGAATCGTAAGCTGCCAGGTTTGTCCTGGGAGCTGGGGTTGTGAGGCCTGTGCTGCAGTCCTTCACCGAGCACAGCTGTCATGACTGCAGTAGGGGCTCTGCTCATGGAGGTGCCTCTCTCTGTGGCTGGAGAGATGCTGACTGGCCTCCCCACGCAGCCTAATTCCCTGTGGTCTCTCCACAGCTGGCTGTTCCGCACAACGACGAGTGGACTCGCTTTGCCCGGACCCTGGTAGAGATCCGCGCCAACCGGGCCGACAGCGAGGAGGAAGGGGCAGTGGAGCTGTCAGCCTAGAGGAGGACAAGGAGCAGCACCCGCCGCCACCAGAACAGCAGCTTCCCCGCTGCTGAGTGCACCAGTGTTCAGTGTCAGAGTCAGTCCTGCTGTGGCTTTTGATGCCAGTCTGTGCCAGTATTGCTCAAAGCATTCCGTATTAATCACACTGCTTTACACAAGGCTGAAAATATCCAGAGCATTTTCATACTTTATATTTCTGTCTGAAAAGTAAGAAAGAAAAGACAAATCAACCCTTTATGGGTTTAGTTGTTGCCTTTTAACTACTTAGTAGCTGTATTTAATAGCTAGGAACCCCTGGTTAAACTTGTGCTCACATTGCCCTTCTGGCATAGTCCTATTAAATCCATATGAAGCCAGATATGATTATGTGCAGATGTGGTGTGCTTCACTGTATGGGACTGGGCCAAAGACCTTAGATGTGGTGTTTCACATGGTGACTTACATTATGAATGGATGTACTATACGAAAGTTGCTGCTCCTTATTTATTGCGGTGTGCTGCATGGAACATATTTATTTGAAAGCATTAAAATAAATGATCCTAAAGCATGTGCATAATGAGAGAACTGCATTGTCTGTGTGCTGCTGTAGAGGTTACGTTAAAGTCCACATAACAATTACAGTACATCAGTTCTGCTTAAGATGTAAGATCTGTAAAGGTTGGCTTGAGTGGATGGAATGAGTTTCCTTTTTTTTCTTTCAAGATGCCTATTATTTCTAGGCACTTTAACTATATTTCAAATACAGTTGGTCACTGATACTTGTCATGCAAGTTAACACTAACAGTCTGACAAAGGGTTGTGGTTCCCGAGTATGACACTAGTATTGCCAATAAAATGTATGGAGCCCATCCTGTTGCAGTGTGGTTCATCCTTCCTTGCCAGCAGCGCTCAGCGTGTTCCTCACCGGTCACTGGGAAAATGTGACTGCCCTGACTCACAGAATGCTTGTGCAGCTGCTATGGGAACAGATACCTTTGCTGCCTGGGGGCTGGCCAGCAATGGCCTCACATGCATTGGATCCCGAGCAGACACTCATCCACGTCAGCTTCTAGGCTTGATTCATTTCTGTTTTTTCCCTCCATCCCTAGCTGTGCACATGCAGAGCAACACCATGCTGCCGTATGCACTAAAAGAAAAGGAATGGAAAGGACAAGGCCTTCTCAAACTGCTTTGAGAGACAGGTCGGGGTAGGGGACAAGGCAATACTCTCCTTTATGACAAACTCTTGTGGCTTGAGTGAAGAAACAGGGTGCAGCCTGACCTTACCAAGTGCCCAGAAGGATGATGGTGAATGCTCACCTTAGTGGTGAGGCTGCTAGTTGTGTTCACATCTCAACATTGTGCTGAGGCAGAGCATGGCTCTGACACATGGGTTAGGCAGTGGCTCACAGTCCCTTGGGCAGGCAGGTGAACCATTACAGCAAGAAACGTTGGAAGTCAGACAGCAACAAAGATTTGTACGTAAATTTGCAGGGAACCACATCTCATCTTTGGGCCGTCATGTTGAGGAATGTATCATCTAATGCTCTTCAGAGCTATGGCCAAACCTGGACGCACTGGGAAGCCTCTGCACTGCTAAAAGCTAGAGTAGGCTAAGCAAATTAATCCTTTGGAGAAGCTGGATTCCCCTTATCCTCTCAATGGTTAGGAATAACTACCAGCGAGAGTGTATGGGCTAGTTTCTTCTTCATGGTGGGACCTGAAGATATGTCCCAGTGCCTGTGGGACCTTAAGCTATCTCCCATGGAAGCGTCCTGCCCAGTGGGTTGTGGTAAGCAGGGTCTTCCACCAGATGAACTAGTTCACAGAGCACAGATACTTCCGTCATTGTCTGGTGGCTCCAAGAGCAGAGCCACACGTGAGGGATCCCTGGGTACGCTGGGAGCTGTCCCAAAGAACCAGTGTGGCACTCGCAGCACTGTTGTACCTTGAAGGTTAATGCTAATGAGCAACCAGGCGAGGCACTTGTGAAGCAGCAGCTTAGACATCATCTCTGGGTTGTTCTTTTCCCCTTTCTCCCTGTTTTCCTTTCAAAAAGGACATGTAAGTGTTGTGTATGTATGCGGGCACATGCAGTGCAAAGGGGAAGGGTGGGAGATGCATGTTGGCATTAGTGGGACACAAGACTGGGAACACGCGTGTAGAGACACACACAGTAAACTCATGTTGCTGAGGAGGAGAGGTGGGACACTCGCTGCCCTTCTGCCCCTATGGTACATCCACATCCAAAAGTGTGGGGACACCATGTGAAGGTTGTAAAGGGAAGGGTGTTTGACCGACGGTGTCTCCCATTCATTGTAACCTGTGCAGTGGAAATGGTTGACAAATGTGCTTCCACTTTTTCCATATTGCCATTCAGGTTTTAGAACCTAAAGGGGGGACTGCATGTTCCGCATGTTCGCCTTCCAAGTCTCCCTACTTTATGGCATTAACAGCTTGTAAAACAGTTTTAAGAGCAGCCTCAGAAGACCTTCAGCATTTGCTGCTGTGTGCAAATGAATGCGACCAAAGTACCTCTTTTTATTCTTCTCTCCTCCTTTTTTTTTTCAGAGGGAACAATTAAAATCCAGATTTCAACAGGAAACAACATGAAAGGGCCATTACAAGCAGGTGAAGCAGAGGGAAGAGCACCCAACAAGAATGAGAGGCATTTACTCCCCTTCTGCTGGTCGTGGCTGCTGTGCAGTACAGTTTCTGACCAGCCCTTGTTGTGCCTTTCCAGGAATCTTCAACGGTTTTTGTTTGTATGATTGATTTTCCTGCTGCTAAACAAATCGCTCCCCCTCACTGCCTTTCCAAAAGAGCCCATATGACAGATGTTCCTCAGAATCTGCCCGGTAGGGAAGTAAATACAAAATTACCCTCTATTTTCAGCAAAGAGAAAACATCTTGATACTGAAAGCCCCGTCCAACCTAGCCTTTAACACTGCCAGGGATGGGGCAGCCACAGCTTCTCTGGGAAACCTGTGCCAGTGTCTCACCACCCTCCCAGGGAAGAATTTCTTCTTAATATCTAATATAAATCTATCTTCCTTCCATTTAAATCCATTCCCCTTGTCCTATCACTACATGCCCTTGTCAAAAGTCCCTCTCCAGATTTCCTATAGGACCCCTTTAGGTACTGGAAGGCTGCTCTAAGGTCTCCCTGGAGCTTTCTCTTCTCCAAGCTGAACATGCCCAACTCTCTCAGCCTGACTTCACAGGTGAAGTGCTCCGACCCTTGGAGCATCTTTGTGGCCTCCTCTGGATTTGGTCCAACAGGTCCACATCCCTCTTGTGTTGAGGGCCCAAAGCTGAACACAGTGCTGCAGGTGGGTTCTCACAAGAGCAGAGTAGAGGGGCAGGATCACCTCCTTCGACCTGCTGGTCATGCTTCTTTTGATGCAGCCCAGGATATGGTTGGTTTCTGGGCTGTGAACACACACTGAAGCCGGCTCATGTTGAGCTTCTCATTAACCAACACCCCAAGTCCTGCTCCTCAAGGCTGCTCTCAATCCAGTCTCCCCCAGCCTGTATTTGTGTTTAGGATTGCCCTGACCCAGGTATAGGACCTTGCACTTGGCTTGGTTGAACTTCATGAGGTTGGCATTGGCCCACCATGTCAACATCCCTCCGGATGGCATCCCTTCCCTCCAGTGTGTCAACCAAGCCACACAGCTTGGTGTCGTTGGCAAACTTGCTGAGGGTGCATCAATCCCACTGTCCATGTACCCGACAAAGATGTTGAACAGGATCAGTCTCAACACCAACCCTGAAATATTTCAACTGAAATGTCTCAATTTCAGAGTGGTATTTGAACATCAAGGTTGGTGGACTCCTCCTGGCCCCCCTGCCACGTGTGCGCTGGTAAGCCAAGGAGCTCAGCGGCAAGCAGCGTGACGTGCATGCACACCATGGGGTGTATGACAGGACATTCCCGAGCAGGCCGTCTCCTCCTGAGGAAGATGCAGAGCAGTTTGTCAGGTTTTGTATTTTTAGCAGGTTTAGAAAAACCTGCCCATGTTATTTTTGAAGCCTGTGGTATGTTTGCTCACAAAAGCGTCCCTGCAAACTGTCAATATTAAGTCAGCTTAAACCCAACCCATTCCCCAGGGACCAAGCAGAAAAGCATCCCTCAGCTTCTGCTGGGCTGAGAAACACGAATAGGGGGTAACTGCTTCAGAGGCACCCCTTCCCCGCTTTCATGGCGATAGGTAACATCACCAATATTGGATCATTTCTTTTGTCTGGAAGCGCTGTCACGGGGAGTTAGCTGGCCCGCAGAAAGCAAGCACAGTTACATTTTATCCTGGTCCTCCCACACTTTGCATAACTTGCCCAGAAACACGAAGAGGACAAACATCCAAACACTGAACATTGTCCTCAGGGCCTTTTGTTTCTTTGCAAGGCAATCTGACAACTTCTTGGCCTGTGCACTTTTCAGGAATGCATCCTTTTGTGTCTGGAGGACGCCGACTGTGGGCACAGATCATCCCCAAGATCTCTGGGCAGAGCTGTGGCATGCTTTGAAACGTTTTAAACTGAGCTGCATGATAATGAAGCAGTCAACTGTTCTGCCCCTGCCTCCGTCATCTACTGACCCTGAAAAGAAGGGCAGAAGGATAGAACCACCCCCCAGAAGACAGTTAATGGGGAAGAGGAGGGCCACCATGGGTTGTGGGGGGGGGTGTCAGCCCAGCCTTGCTCGTCTTGACTGCCAGAGAGAGGATAAAGGCTGTGTGGCCTTCAGAGGGGGACCTGCCACAGAAAAGCTGTGCCCTGGGCTGGTAGCATTGTCCCTTCATCCCTAGAATAAAGGATAAATCACAGACATACTGCCAGGCCTGGGAAAGAAAGGGCAACACTATGCAGGGAATGAACTGGGGTGAGCTGTGATTTGTTTTGTCAAACACAAGCAATGGTCTTTATCACACGAGCCAAGAAGTTGTGCAAGTCAGACAATAACCCAGCTCCAGTCCCTGTCCCATTGCTGGCTGCGAGGCACCAGCTGCGCTGGGGTCCGGCAGCACTGGAGCGTGCTCCGGCCAGGATGGCTGGTGTCCCGCTCTGGTTGGGAAGGAGCAGCTGCTGGCTGAAGCCATGCTCATGGCCAAAACCTGCCTGTCCCAGGTCAGGGATGACGTGCAGTTCAGCACTCGTATGTCTTCCCTGAGCTGCTGACTTCCTACAGAAACCTCTGACAAGGTCCATCAGGCAAAGGTGAAGGAAGGAGTGCAAAACCAGCTCTTAAATAGCCTGAAATCTCAGGTGTCAGGCACAGGCATCTCCCAGTGAGAAAGTTTAACTTTATGACAAGCCTTAACCAAAAATCTGACAGTTAATTCTGGAGTAATACAAGGGTCAGCTTTTTTTCCTCATATCTGAAACAAAGGAGCTGTCATCTGGGGAGGTTCAGATATATAGGGTTGAGAGGTGGCAGCCAGCAGCTGTCAGAGCCTGGCAAAGTCTCCGCACGCTGGCTTAGCCAGACCCCAAGGTGCATCTGCAGGCATATGTCATCTTCTCCCCTTGCACTCACGTACCGCAGATGCTAATCCTGCCACGATTCCATTT